CCCTAAATTAATTTCTTTTTATTTCTGTAATTAGCTTTTAGCTGACAATGAACATTTAGGGTTTTTGTTGTAAATTCTATAACTTTGCAAAGAAAGGTCATGTGGAGTTGGGAGAGGTCTCATTTTAATCAGAAATTTGCGGGCTACAATCATGCCTCATTAAGAACGGTTCGGGTTATTTTTTGGGGTTTCTGAAAAACTCGTTTTCTAGAAAACCAGGTCTTCGAAGGGCTATGCGGAAGCCGCATGGTCATATTCGTCATCAGCATGATCGATAACCTATAACCCACTAGATTCCGAGCAAAAAGCGTTTAATCACTTCGTGGGGTTCCCTCGTTAGAAACATAGAGCTAGCGGGATCAATCAATAATCATTTTATAGAGCGTGTTTTACTGCATCTTTTCTTTGTAGAGACAAATTTGCAATCACTTGTTCCACTATAGAAAAAATTATTATTCAAATCGGGTCAGGACTTCGGGGCTACCTTTTATTCATATGTATTTATATAAATATCATACATGAAAATATGCAAATCCAAAATCTATTGCAAAATAAATTTCTAATCATCATCTTTGAGTTCGCAGCGAATGTATACCGTGCATAGTACGATCCGCTCACTGTTTTCGTTAAGGATACTCCCGGTACTTCCCTCTTCCTCACACATTTCCGAAGAACCACCATATCAGAACTTTCCAGTATAAGCATACATCAATGAGTCGTGAAAACATTCTACTAACGAGTGATGCAAAAGTCTTGGCACAAATGTCGCACTTTACTGTGAGCTACAGGGAGATGCTAAAAACTTGATTATTTTTCCATCGGATAGAGCAAAGTCTGTAGGTTAAGAATGCATATTTTAAACAAACGTTTTGAACTTTCTTAGTGCCCAAATTTTCAAGTTCCGAAAGGCATCAGAAATGGCTTGTTAACCACTGAAATTTTAGGGTTTTGTTTGCGATTGATCTACCTCGTTTTCCAAAATTATTTTTGCTATCATTACGTTAGGTAGCGTTGATCGACTTGACACCTCGTTAGTATTTTACTTTTTTCTAGTCTGGCGACTCGGTGCAGGAATTATGGTTGCATTGACAATAGTTGCTTGAAGTCCATAGGGTGCAAATGCTTCATTGAGCTATAATAACAGGTATTACTGTTCTATTACAATAGTAGAGATTGAGTTCATTTGAAACAAACTTTGTCTTCAACAGATATAATCATAGCAGTTGTCGGTGTAACGTTCATCGATGATGTTAACGAGTTGTCAGTGTATGTAAATGTCATATTATCAACAGTGTACACTAGAAACACGCAGAAACAGATATTAAATAGCAAGTAAACAGGGGAACTAACGGATGAATTATATGATTAGGGATGTAACTTTACATTTACTACAAAAATTAAATGATTTATTTAAGATGCATGGAAATCAAAGTTGCAGTGAAATTTTTTTTTTTGCTTATCATACATCATTCGATAGAGAATTTCAAGGCGGTCAAGAATATGTGTGTCTTGAGTTTTCTCAACCCTTTTTTCCGGTTGAAAATTTGAAAAAACTCGGAAGGTGTTGAAAACAGCCAATTTGGCAACTTTTCTTAGATTCATACGTTACGAGATCGAATCTGTTAACTTAGTTTTTCTGATAGATCATAGAAAACTAAATAAGAAACTGGTTTTAAACCATTCTTAGAACAAACCATCGGCTCACAAAATAATTATCCAAGATCCATGCTCAAAAATCGAAACTTAATTTTGCAAGTCTATCACAGGTTTTTCTAGAGATGATAGAGCCAATATTTCTACATGGTTAGATTCGTCAGATGCGTAGCTCCAAAGTGACGAAGAGATTTTTCAAAAATTTCTTTTCCTCGCTGAGAAAAATCCATTTTACTGAGGACACCTCCAAATGGGCCAGGTGATTTTTAGTTATTTTTTTCTGTTCTTTTCCAATATAGTCAAAGTATATTCATAGAAGTTAAAATCGATGCCCAATCCAACAGACATACTCTCAAGATCTTTAGAGAATTTCTAGAAAATCTTCCAGGCGCGCTTTAGCTGACTAATCTATGTTTCTGTTATGCACTTAAACGGTTTCGTACTGCACCGTGTCTTGTACGAAACCTAAAAGGGTTTAGAAACGATAAAAACCATCAACTAAAAAGCATGGAAACTCTTTCACGGTTTTCCTCTTCACGCTTTCATTTTCATTGTTTTTCTATGACAAACTGTCAGTTCGTGATTTTATTTCTACAGTTTTGACCTTTACGATATTTTTTCATGGTTGTAATTTCATAGTTCTTGAACTGACGGTTTTATTTTAGAGTTTTCCTTCGGTGATCCGAAAGTGGACAGTTTTGTTTCTATGGTTTTAATCTTTCCAGTTTTACTTCCATAGTTTTTCTTTTATACTTTTGTATTTTACGGTTTTCGTAATGTAGTTTTCTACTTCATGATTCTTCTGCACGATTTTATTTCGATGGTTATAGATTTTACGGTTTTCGTAATGTAGTTTTCTACTTCATGATTCTTCTGCACGATTTTATTTCGATGGTTATAGATTTTACGGTTTTTCTTACGTGTTTTTTTCACCGTGTAGACAAGTTATTAAAACGAAAGCGGTACGTAACTCTAAGATATTTTCCATTGCTCACTGTGGCAATGAACAATGGAAAATGTATAAGCTATACATAGTATGTATGGCTTATACGTTAGATTTATTCATTCTCACTGACTAGAAGGTTATCATTTTATGAGTAACGTGACGGTATTCTATTTGTATTTCATTTCGTTAGAAATAACAACATTCTTTAAGAAAAAATAAAATTTTAAATTTAATCTTTGTTTCGTATAACACATTCCACAACTTTTCACTTTACGAACCATACACTTATTCAAGGCATGACATTAGTAGAAGAACATTTGAGTACTAACCTCCTTCAACATCATTCGGCAAACTCCGCGCACGATTGTTACCATAAAGCGGTATTAACGATAACACGATCGTACCCGAAAATAACAGACCAAAAATACCAAGACCTAAGCCGAGGCCAAATGCTATTGGTGTGCTAAAACAAATATATTATCTGGTAACTTTCATTTGCTAATGGAAATTATAACACAATCTGTAACTAAATTTTACCATAAAACTATTCTTTCTTAGTTTCTATTTGACTTACTATTGCATTTTACAGTATGCGTACAGATTAATAATTGTTTACAGAATGAAATGATTTTTATTTCATTTATCTATAAATACACGTGACGTAAGATCAAAGCAATCACTTGTTAAATAAGTATGCCCCTCCGCTTCTTTTCTTATTACCTTTATTCACCTTCACAGTATTTATTTTGATTTACATTTTACATAAAGAGCCCTGAACACGTAAGTATTAAGATACGGATAACGATGTATTTCCGATCCTTGGCTTCTTTTTACTACAAATATATATCTTAGATTAAATATTGACATGACGTTATGTCTAAAAGAAGCTATAAATCATACAGTGACGCACAATTGTGCAATTTTGCTAAGCTAACCCTTTCTCTTTTTCGGTTATTCTAAATAGAGGTCTAATGAGGGAACCTCTTGAGGTGATTAAAAGCTTTTCGACTCAGACTATTTTCATCATGTAGGGAATAGTCAGTAGTGAAAAACCCCAAGTTGGTTTGGGCCCATGCGCCTTTTTGACGGAGATATGAGTTAATTAATGAAAAT